AAATTTTCAATTAAATATATACTGTTCAACCATTTCTAAAATTATTAATGAAAAAGATAAATGGTTAGCAGTAGTTTTAGGTGAAATAGCACAAAGTAAATTCTGTCACCGTTTACCAAAATTTCTATCATTCGAAAAAGCCATAAGTTTATAGGTAGAAAGCATGATTGTAGCAAAAATTTCAATCAGTGAAATGATAGTTAAAGAAAAGGCCAGGTTTTTTATGCAGGCTTTTAATATAAATGAATCTGATCTGAAATTATCAAATGGTTGGATTGAAAAATTCAAATATCATAATAATCTTCATGTTTATTATTTATACGAAAAGGCTGAAAGTGCACCTTTAAAAACATTATATAAAGAAAGACAAAAGTTACATAATCTTCTTAGTCAGTATACACTTGATCAAATTTATAATGTAAATGAAACTGCATTATTTTATCATATGCCACCAAACCAAACTTTGTCAACAGCTTTTATACATGGTCAAAAAAAAGTATGTCTGTATAATATTATATTAAATTACACTAGTAGTATTCAACACCACATATATATTTAATAGTTTTGTTGATAAAATTTGGGATTGGGAACCTAAACTATAGTAAAGATATAGGTTTAAATTTTAGTAAACTAAGGCTTTTGAGAGTATTAAATATTTTTACTTATTACATTTATTTAGCTAGTTTTTAAGGTATAACAACTGTGATGTCAAATACTACTGATGTGATTTAGTAAAACTGTAAATATATGTGTCTTAAACAAAAAATCAATTTAACTTATAGGATAAAGTAAGAATTACTGTTTTACTTGGCACCAATGCTACAGGAACACATTATCTTAAACCATGAGTAATTGGTAAATCTTCATAACCACAGTGTTTTAAACATATTAACTTGAATTCTCTTCTTGTTGAATACCATGCCAATAAAAAGACATGGATGTGTAGTAATATATTTGAAGAATGGCTTTACCAATTAGATTATTATTTTCGAATTAAAGACCAAAAAAATCTTCTACTGCTTGATAATGCTGCCTCTTACTTTGATCCAAATAAAGAATACACTGATTAAGATAAAGCTGATTCTGGTTCTAAAAATGAAGATGTTGAATTGAGTAATAGTATTGGTTCATCCTCTAAGGCATTTAGCAAAAAACATACATCAAATAATAAACAAAACAAGTGCAAAAAACAAAATCAGCAGAGTTCATATTCAAATCTAACTAATATTAAAATTGCATTTTTACCTTCCAATACAATAGCTCATCTGCAACCAATGGATGCAGAGATTATAAAGAGCTTTAAAAGCAAATATAAAGCTTTTTATTGCTGTTATATTTTAATGCAATATGAGACTGGTGAAGATATTAATAAGTAAGAACTTTTTGATTTCTATATTTTAAACTAATAC